AGCCAAAATGGTATTTCTATTCAAGTTGTTTATATATTGATCTTGTTACTATTTGGAAGCCAAACAGGAAAGAATTAGATAATGCAGTCTGTTGCAAGCAGTTAAAGTAGTTCGTGGTTTACTTTGTCTCAATATGAACATTGACTGGCCCTTCACGTGGAAATCAAATTTATCATTGGTTTGATTGCAGGTGGGATTGATTGCCTCATGGAATGATTTGTAGAACATTTTATTCTCTTTAACATAGGAAGAAGTTCTTCAGGTTGCAAAGTGTGGTTTTCCTTAAAGATTAACAGCATACCTGCACGACCTGAGAGAAAGATAAGTGTGAAATGCAGAGCTCTGGTAAGATTACTCTAAATGTTTAATTTTGCTTTAGTGCATTAATAAGAAAAAAAAGCAATTTTTATTGTTGGTCTGGCTGTTATCACACGGGATTAATCAATTTTATTACATGAGTACACACAATCACTTTTTGCCTAATAAACCTCAGTCCTTGCTGAAGCCTCATTTAAGCTCAGTGATATGACCTAAAATGAATGTTTAAAGAAAACTGGTTTCTTTATGCTGTTTGAATAATTACATTTTTATTCTCTCTCTCTTTTTTTTTTCATTAGCTTGCTTTTGTTCTGCTGAAATTTGCTTCTAATTTTGGAGTTCAGATAAGGTTAAATTGTGTAAAAACTTCAAGCAGTTTATGTACTGCCCACAACAGAATAAATCTGTTTTGGTACACTGCTTCCTTAAATATGCCAAGTTATTCTTGTCATTTAGATCATCATTAATAATTGGAATGTAATTAATCATATTGTATTAGTAAATAAAAACATACCCTGCATCTCAAAAATATTAAATGTTAATCATTTTAGTACATATTACAGTACGTTAAATAATAAAGCACTTAAATGTATACAGTAACTCCATTTGACATTTTTGCTTAATTGATATAGGTTTTAGATTCTAAATATTTGTATTTGTCATTAAATTATTTTTTAAACATTTTTATTTTCAGAGCTAATGTTTTTCTTAACTTATGAATAACTTATGAATATTTGTTTTATCACCTAGAAGACCTGCTTCCTGCATGAATTGTAAAAATACTGACTTTGGTAGTGGAAGCTCACAGCAGGCCCCATGAGTAACAATGACGGGTACAAAATTTTGCTACAGGAAATTTTTTGTAGTGAAATATCTGATATAATTACTGGGGAACTACCTCTTCCAGTAACAAATAATGAGGAAAGTAGAACTTCTGATTTTTACAGAAGTTCTGATTTTTACAGAAAGTAGAACTTCTGATTTAAACATGTTAGCATATTTATGTGGGGAAAAAAATCCAAAACAGTAATCAATTCGTAGATTTTTAAAGTAAAAATATTCATATACAGTTCTGGGTTTGCTGTTAATTCTTCAAGTGCAGCATCCTGAGTGTGAATTTCATTAGCACTCAGAAATGGATAATGACATTTTCAAAATCTTGAGAAGGGTTGAGCATTGTGATGGAACGGCTCATACTGGCCGTTGTCTCCAGGCACATGGAGGGCAAGAAGGAGCTCAAGAGTAGTCAGCATGGATTCGCCAAGGGGAAATCTTGCTTGACTAAGCTGACGGCCTTCTATGATGGAATGACCAGCTGGAGAGATGAGAGGATAGCAGTGGATGTCATCTGTCTCGACTTCACTCCGGCTTTTGACACCGTCCCTCACAACATCCTCCTGGGCAAGCTCCGGAAGTGTGGGATAGATGAGTGCGCAGTGAGGTGGATTAGGAACTGGCTGGATGGCAGGGCCCAGAGAGTGGTGATCAGCGGGGCAGAGTCTAGTTGGAGGCCTGTAGCTAGCGGGGTCCCCCAGGGGTCAGTCCTTGGTCCAGTCCTGTTCAATTTATTCATCAATGACCTGGATGAAGGCACAGAGTGCTCCCTCAGCAAGTTTGCTGATGATACCAAACTGGGAGGAGTAGCCGATACCCCAGAGGGCTGTGCTGCCATCCAGAGGGACCTGGACAGACTGGACAACTGGGCGGTGAAAAACCTCATGCAATTCAACAAGGCCAAGTGCAAGGTCCTGCACCTGGGGAGGAATAACCCCAGACACCAGTACAGGCTGGGGACCGACCTTCTGGGGAGCAGCTCTGCGGAGAAAGACCTGGGTGTCATGGTGGATGATAAGTTGACCATGAGGCAGCAGTGTGCCCTCGTGGCCAAGAAGGCCAATGGGATCCTGGGCTGCATTAAGAAGAGCATCTCTAGCAGGTCGAGGGAGGTGATCCTGCCCCTCTACTCAGCCCTGGTGAGGCCGCATCTGGAGTATTGTGTCCAGTTCTGGGCTCCACAGTACAAGAGGGATGTGGAGCTGCTGGAGAGAGTCCAGCGCAGGGCTACCAGGATGCTCAGGGGCCTGGAACATCTGCCCTATGAGGAGAGGCTGAGGGAGCTGGGCCTGTTCAGCCTGGAGAAGAGAAGGCTGAGAGGGGATCTAATCAGTGTATATAAATACCTCAAGGGAGGGAGTGCAGAGGACGGGGATGGTCTCTTTTCAGTGGTGGCCACTGATAGGACTAGAGGAAATGGCCGGAAACTGAAACATCAAAAATTCCATAGGAACTTAAGGAAAAATTTCTTAACAGTGAGGGTGACAGAGCACTGGAACAGGCTGCCCAGAGAGGTTGTGGAGTCTCCTTCTCTGGAGATCTTCAAAACCCGTTTGGACGCAGTCCTGTGCCACGTGCTCTAGGTGTCCCTGCGTATGTAGGGGGGTTGGACTAGATGATCTCTAGAGGTCCCTTCCAACCCTAAGCATTCTATGATTCTATGATTCTAAGGTCTTATCCGACCATAACGATTCTCTGATTTCCCAAGAGGCTGGATGAGTTTTGGAGTAGGTATCAGAAATGATAGGTTTATTTTTACCAATTAAGGGGTTTTCAAGTAAAGACTAGATGCCTTTTTGAAAGAAATGCGTTAGTCAGAAACAAATATTCAGATCAGAGTAAGTGGATGAAATACTAAGCTTCTCTTCTGCTTTTAGAATTTGATAAAACACTGATGTTCAAGGCTACTGTGATTGCACAAAGATTCTGTTGATGAAGCAAAAGGTTGTTGGCACAACTGCTCCAAAACTACTTGTTTTCGGTCCCTGTAAGGTTTTGTAAAATGCAGAAGGGGAAAAGTTTGAAATCTCTGAAGCTGAATATGAACAGAGTGCAAAAAGTTTAATATTTCAGTAGTATTTCTGCCCCCTCAGTTTGTGAAAATGTATTTCTGCATAGATGCTCTCAAGTCAATTGAAACTGGATTTATATTGATGAAGCTTAAATCAGTTGAAGATCAGTGGCACAGAAATTT